CTCTCTCTCTCTCTCTCTCTCTCTCTCTCTCTCTCTCTCTTTCTTTCTTTCTTTCTCTCTCTATCAACTTCGACGATTCAAACGGTTCTTTTTTCCCTCTTAGCGACAGAACTCGAAGGGCTCAGACGGCTCGGTTCGGCAGTCAGAAAGACTTTAGACCGAGAGAGGATCTTTCTCTCGTTTCCACGCCGATTCGAGAGATATCCCGACTATGCGAAAGATGTGCACCTCGAAATTATTTTCCGTGATTGCACTTGCGCTACGCTCACGACGAGTAAACCACACCCCCGTCCCCGTATACTCCCATTCATTCCGCACGCCTTGACGAATTGCCTCGCTTTCCCCCTCGTGTTTCTCCATCTTCATCCCAAGGTCTCGACCTAACTATTTCTCGTAGAAGGATGGGATAATCCTCAAGAGATGTATCAGCTCCAGCAAACTGCACAGGACCTCCCCTTCCGACCCCCTTGGATTCACCAATCTAACAAGTTGAACTCCCTTGTAGAAAGTGAGAAAGAGAGAGAGAGAGAGATATCATGAACGAACGAGGACGAACGGACTTCTAATATCCGCTAGAAAGACGAAGCACATAATCTCTCACAGGCGAAGGATAAACTTGAAACCCTTTAGATATGTACGTTCACGTATTACGTCTTGACGCAAACGATAGCTGCGTAATACATGTATATATATACGGAAAATAATTGTGTCAAACAATTAAGGTTGCGTTCCGTTATTCATTACCAGTACTACTGAAAATTTATAGTTCACGTGACATATATTATAAATTTGCAGTATTTGCAGCGAATTTATGACCGGTCTATTGGTCTTGCGGCTTGAGTGCAGGAACTGCGATCACGGAGGTCCCGAGTTCAAATCCGCTCACCATCTTAGGATTTTTTCCGGGCCGATCCTTTTCAATCGAGTTATAATCAATTGACTGGCGAACTAAATCCGAGCTTCTTTGAAAATTAATTCGTGTCTAATCTCGTTGATCGTTTCGAATCACGGTCATGCGCACGTTATATAAAATAAGATTAACATAAAGAAAACCTCCAAGAAGTTATTAAAGTTATAATATGAGAAGTTATTATTACAGTTGTTATGTTTTTGTCGCAAAGTTAGGTTTTGGAACGCAACCTAAATCCGATTTGTGTGCAAAAATTTACATAAATTTACAGGAAATAACGCGGATCTCAAGACGGTTGAAGTTGGAATCGAATGAGGATAAATCCGGGAAGTACATCCGGGAAAAACAATTCTGAAAAGGAAGTTAAAGACGGCGGCGGTAAGAATGGCTTGAATATACGCGTATTTTCGCCCGTTAAAGATAAAACCTGGCTTTTTCGCGAAAGCTGTACAAATTCTCAAGTCGTCTTGTTGTAATATATTTTCACGTTACAAAGACAGCGCGCGCGAGCACTCGCGCTCAGATCCAATACGCCGCTTCGGAAGTGCCCTATATTATTTCTGTCAAAGGAAAACAGAGTCTTTCGTACCACTGTTCAGAAGTATCGTGACCGATTGCGCACGATTCTCGTCGTTCTTCTTCTTTCCTTCAATTTCAGCATTTCAACCAACCCAACGTTGTAAGAGCGAATCCAAAAGTACGTCGGATCGACCGCGGTTTGTCGCTCTTCGGTACGAGGAGCGAGGAGGGGATGGAAAAGGGACATTAAATTTATGGAAGCTGTCCGTGTTCACGGATTTATGAGAATCCAATGTCTTAATTGGAAAATTATAGGACGATGTCTGAAATAGCCGATCGCTTAGACCTCGAGCTAAGTCGTCGTTTATATTCAATGATATAATCTGATTTTCTACGGTTTTTTTGACGCGCATGAATTATATATTTTTTTTACCGCGACAACAAATATTGAAACTTTTCACGAGCAAACCGAAAGAGAAAACAGATGGACAAAAATATCGCATATGTAGGTTGTACATATTTGTTCGGGTTCTTTAAATATATCGTGAGCAGTCTTTGAGTTTGTTACCTTGTTTCGTTTTTACATACGGGACTTACCTACAGTATTGGCGGTGCACAGAAGATGTATTTGGTGAACCAAAATGGAGGCCACCACGGCCGAAAGACGACTCAACATCGTATAGTCGATCCTCAACTCATCTCTGTTCCCAAATTTGGTAGCGGCACTTATTGTGTTTATCTGCAAATATACGAACAGACATAGATGTTTTATTTATATACACAATGCATACAAACACAATACAGGCGTATAAAATAATATTATATATATATATATATATATATATATATATACACATATATATATATATATATGTATATATACATATACATACACATAATATACAAGATGTTAATTTTAATGAAAGTTATTTATATATAAAAGTAAATATATATGTAATTAATTCGCTCAACCGCAACATTGTGATTAAATTAATCGTCAACAATACGACACAAAACCAATCGATAAATAGAGCGATAATCGATCAACGAATGTGCGTGATAATTAATAAAGCATGGAGTCGAGACCGTCAAGCGTCATTAAACCGCCGGCTTTTGCTTGAACGTCGAATGCCGCCAAATCAAACGATTCCCTCGGGACTTGAAGCCAACTTCATGTTTTCCGCGTTTACTTCACTCGAGTTCGGAGTATGTATGTATGTACGTACACACAAAGTGTTCCTTGGTAAATCGCTATACATATATACATATATACACACGTTATGTGCACGGTACACGTACATATATATATATATATATATATATATATATATATATATATATATATATATATATATATATATATATATACACATATATACATATATACCGGAGAATCGTATCTCTTCTTCAACCACGACATGCAAAATCTCGCAAAACGTACCGCATAAAATTAAAAACACTTAGAAAAAAACACAACGCGTCGATGTATAATCTAACCTAAGTGAAAAACCTAAGTGAAAAACGTATGTAAATTGTTAATTGCGGTCTGTAAATACGAGAAGGCGTTGCAAAATTCGAAAAATCCACGTTGACACTTCAAATAAAGAACACCGTTCGCGAGAGAGAACGCCGCTAAGCTAATTTAACCCAAAAATATGCGCCGCATGTTATGAATAATACATTCGCACATTATTATTTATGACATCATAAATGCATCGCATGTATTACACATTGTGCGCGTTTATGTGTGAGGGTGTGCGATTACAGTAGCTTTCTAATTCGCAACATTTTATTTTCAGAGAAAAGATAATTTAAAAGAATCTACACAGTAAAAAATTGTGCGTCAAAATGTAGAACTTTTCTTGTGTTACGACGTTTTGATTATTACTTCAATGTAAAATTAACATAATACTGATATGTTATTATTTTTTTAATCTTTTCACGTGTCAAATTTATGTTAACTTCACAAATTAACATTTTTT